TGGTCAGACTGGTCTCGAACTCCTGACCTCAGGTGATCCACCTACCTCCGCCTCCCAAAGTGCTGGGATTACAGGCGTGAACCACCGCGCCTGGACAATATATGTAATTTTTTAATGTGCAAGATTGGGATAGTATTTTCTTTGAAAAAAGACAATTTTAGTAGGTGACATAAGATCAAATACTAGCTATATTAGGTGCGTGTTTACTAGAAATTACATAAAAGCATTGTGAGTAAAAGAAATAAAATAAAACCAGTAATGATAACTAAATACTAAGAAGGAAAAAAACAATAGTTTATACAAGAAATGTGATTAGCATAGGGCATTCAGTTCTTACAATGTAACTTGTAAGAGGAGAAAAGTGATACATCCATAGAAAATAGGAGGAGAACAAAGTAACTTTTTTTTTTTTTTTGAGACAGAGTTTCGCTCTTGTTACCCAGGCTGGAGTGCAATGGCGCGATCTCGGCTCACCGCAACCTCCGCCCCCTGGGTTCAGGCAATTCTCCTGCCTCAGCCTCCTGAGTAGCTGGGATTACAGGCACGCGCCACCATGCGCAGCTAATTTTTTGTAATTTTTAGTAGAGACGGGGTTTCACCATGTCGACCAGGATGGTCTCCATCTCTTGACCTTGTGATCCACCCGCCTCGGCCTCCCAAAGTGCTGGGATTACAGGCTTGAGCCACCGCGCCCGGCCCAAAGTAACTTTTTATAAAAATAGACGCATGAACACGGAATGAGGAAAAGGCCTAAAAATTAGTATGCTGGGTTTCTATTTTTGGCAATATTTTGAACCAGATAATCTAAAAACTTTCCTACCAATAATCATCTAGAAATGCTGGATAAAATATACCAAACAGAATTTTTTTTTGGCAGGGGACGAAGTCTCGCTCTGTCACCCAGGCTGGAGTGCAGTGGTGCGATCTCAGCCCACTGCGGCCTCCACCTCCCGGGTTCAAGCAAGTCTCTTGCCTCACCCTCCTGCATAGCTGGGATTACAGGTCCACACCACCACATCAGGCTAATTTTTGTATTTTTAGTAGAGATGGGTTTTCATCATGTTGGCTAGGCTGGTCTTGAACTCCTGACCTCAAACGATCCACCCACCTCGGCCTACCAAAGTGCTGGGATTATAGGCGTGAGCCACTGCACCTGGTCAGGTTTGAGTTTTAAAGGTTCCTAAAGGCAGCGGACAAGGCTTTGGTGGAAGTAGAACTACAACCTCCACCCAAATAAGGACACTTAAGGAGTTATATCTTAGGGAAAATGGTCAGAAAAATCTGTCCACCCAGAGTAGGGAGATGACAAGGAAGCTTATGTGTCTTATTCTGGATCCTAGATGGAAAAAGTCCCCCTCTACATTTGTTGCAATATGATTATACTCTCAGTTATCATTTTTTTTTTTTTTTTTTTTTTTTTTGAGACGGAGTTTCGCTCTTGTTACCCAGGCTGGAGTGCAATGGCGCGATCTCGGCTCACCGCAACCTCCGACCCCTGGGTTCAGGCAATTCTCCTGCCTCAGCCTCCTGAGTAGCTGGGATTACAGGCACACGCCACTGTGCCCAGCTAATTTTTTGTAATTTTAAGTAGAGACGGGGTTTCACCATGTTGACCAGGTTGGTCTCGATCTGCCGACCTCGTGATCCACCCGCCTCGGCCTCCCAAAGTGCTGGGATTACAGGCTTGAGCCACCGCGCCCGGCCTCATTTTTTTTTTTTTTTTTGAGACGGAGTTTCGCTCTCGTTACCCAGGCTGGAGTGCAATGGCATGATCTCGGCTCACCACAACCTCCGCCTCCTGGGTTCAGGCAATTCTCCTGCCTCAGCCTCCTGAGTAGTTGGGATTACAGGCACGCGCCACCATGCCCAGCTAATTTTCTGTATTTTTAGTAGAGACAGGGTTTCATCATGTTGACCAGAATGGTCTCTATCTCTTGACCTCGTGATCCACCCGCCTCGGCCTCCCAAAGTGCTGGGATTACAGGCGTGAACCACTGCTCCCGGCTCTCTCAGTTATAAATTAAGCAAGTTCTGGGCATCTAATGTGCACCATGGCTGCTGAGGGATGTGTTAACTAATTTGAGTGTGATAATCATTTTATATCGTATACATACACCAAATCATCATGTTATATGCCTTGAATATGCATGCACAATCTTTATTTGTTGTTGTTTGTGTTTTTTTTTCCCCAGACAGGGTCTCTCTCTGTCACCCAGATTGTAGTGCCATGGTGAGATCTCAGCTCAATGCAACCTCTGCCTCCTGGGTTCAGGCGATCCTCCCACCTCAGCCTCCCAAGTAGCTGGGACTACATACAGGTGCCCACCACTATGCCCAGCTAATTTAATTTTTTAAATTAAATCAATAATTTAATTTAATTTAATTAAAAAATTTAATTTAATTTTAATATAGGCCCAGTGGCTCATGCCTATAATCCCAGAACTTTGGGAGGCCGAGGAGGGTGGATCACTTGAGGCCAGGAGTTCAAGACCAGCCTGGCCAACATGGCAAAACCCTGTCTCTATTAAAAATAGAAAAATTAGCCAGGCATGGTGGCACATGCTTGTAATCCCAGCTACTCAGAAGGCTGAGGCATAAGAATTGCTTGAACCCAAGAGGCAAAGGTTGCAGTGAGCCGAGATCACACCACTGCACTTCAGCCTGGGTGACAAAGCAAGGTCTCACTATATTGCCCAGGCTGCCTGAAACTCCTGGGCTCAACCGATCCTTCTGCCTCAGCCTCCCAAAGTACTGGGATTATAAGCGTGAGCTACCAAACCCAGACAATCTTTATTTGTTTATTAAATATTTTAGAATGAGAAAACAAAACTATATTTACATAGGTTTGGAATTAAAATTTACACTATGGAATCTCCAAGCCAGGAAATTAACTAAACACAAACTCAGGGATGGCAAAGCTTCAGCCTAGATATATGGGGTTCCCACAGATAGAGACTTACACGTTTGAAATTACAAAGTGCACAAGGAAACATTCCACCATGAGCAAGAGACAGTAGAAATAAACAACATCAGATCTCAATTACTTCAGATAACTGGTTTATAACAGATTCATTTATTGGGAGACTGAGGCGGGTAGAACACGAGGTCAAGAGATAGAGACCATTCTGGTCAACATGGTGAAACCCCGTCTCTACTAAAAATACAGAAAATTAGCTGGGCATAGTGACGCGTGCCTGTAATCCCAGCTACTCAGGAGGCGGAGGCAGGAGAATTGCCTGAACCCAGGAGGAGGAGGTTGTGGTGAGCCGAGATCGCGCCATTGCACTCCAGCCTAGGTAACAAGAGTGAAACTCCGTCTCAAAAAAAAAAAAAAAAGACTCATTTAAAACAAATGGGTTGACACTGATAGAGTCGTAAATAAACATGAGAAAAAAAATCATAACTCTTAAAATCTATAAGGCACTTTTGAGAAAGAAATTAGAACACTTTTAATTTGGTAAGTGAATTGTTTCTTTCTTATCCTTGTCATTGGAACCAAATATTCAACATGAGACTTCACCCACGTGCTTGTGTATTACCTAGAGGTGGTAAATTTCCCTATGAGTCACTCAGCATCACCGGTTCAGCAAAAAAAATTATCGACATCCGCAATGTGCCACCCACTGTGACACATTGCCCTGTGGATATAGCAGGTAAGGGAGACAGACGCTCCTTTTGTCTGCATGGAGAACTGCAGACAAAACAGACATTGAAGATGCATGGACCAGGGTGAAGAAAAGTCAAGGAAGACCCTGGGGAAGTGATATTTCAATGGAGATTTGAAGAATGAGTAGAAGTTGGCCTGGTGATGAGGGAGTAGAGAAAGTTGTCCAGGCAAAGAAGAGAGTGTGTTGGAAGATCCAGATTCAACACAGGCTGGTGGATGTGAGAGTCTAAAGACCAATAAGGTTGAGTGAAGAGAGCCTGTGAGGGTGTAGGACATATGTGTAGATCGTCACAACGCAAGGCTTTGTGGGCCAGATTCTGAACGTCCTTGTATGCTCAGCTGAGCGGTTCAGATTTGAATCTATCCTGCAGGCAACAGACAAGGGGAGAATTTGGGATAGGAAAGATTGTCGCACTTATGGTCTGTTGTTGTTAGTTTTTAGAGACAGGGTCTTGCTCTGTCGCCCATACTGGAGTGCAGTGGGGCAATCATAGCTCACTGCAGCCTCAAACTCTTGGGCTCAAGTGATCCTCTCACCTCAGCCTCTTGAATAGCTGGGACTACAGGGATGCACCACCACACCCAGCTGTTTTTACAAAAGGTTTTGTGGAGACAGGGTCTCCCTGTGTTGCCCAGGCTGGTCTGAAACTCCTGGCCTTGAGTGAGCCTCCCACCTTGGCTTCCCAAAATGCTGGGATCATAGGAGTGAGCCACTGCACCTGGTCCAGATGATGTAATAAGAGGCAGACCTGCCGCTCTTCAAGGTTGTAACCAGGACTTAAACTGCAAAAGCAAGTTTCTACTCTGCAAATTTTTGGGGAAAACACTTGAAACAGTTTTTGATGAGCATCAATAGTGAAAAGGAAGGAAGCTTGGAACTAGATCCACTGTGCATTCCTAAATGGAAAAACAAGAGCACACTCCCATTTCTAAACAGTGGAAACAGACCAGACACGGTACACAACTGTAATCCCAGCTACCTGGGAGGCTTAGGCTGGTGAATTGCTTGAGCCCAGGAGGCAGAGGTTGTAGTAAGCCGAGATTGTGCCACTGCACTCCAGCTTGGGTGACAGAGCGTTGCTCTGTCAAAAAAAAAAAAAAAAATCGATGTCAAGAAATTGCAGTATAGCTTTCTAATTTAGAAGCATGGAAATAAGTACCAGGTGAAAAGGTATAAGGTTTGAGGGTGGCTGCCTCTGGAGGGTGGGACATGGAAGTCTCATGGAGGCTGGGGAAGGGTAGGCTTGAAGGATCTTTCAAATAATGCACTTTGCAACCACGTTACTATTAATATTATTATTATTTGAGACTGAGTTTCTCTCTTGTTGTCCAGGCTGGAGTGCAATGGTGCGATCTTGGCTTACTGCGACCTCCACCTCCTGAGTTCAAGTGATTCTCCTGCCTCAGCCTCCCCAGTAGCTGGGACTACAGGCGTGCACCAGGTAATTTTTGCATTTTCAGTAGAGACGGTTTCACCATGTTGGCCAGGATGGTCTTGATCTCTTGACTTCATGATCTGCCTGCCTTGACCTCCCAAAGTGCTGGGATTCCAGGTATGAGCCACCATGCCTGGCCCGTATTTTGTATTTTTAACTGACCGCAGGTCATTTGCCTCCTCGGCCTCCCAAAGTGTTGGGACTGATTATATGTGTGAGCCACTATACCCAGCCAGCAACTGTGTTATTTTGAATCAATCATTTAATACTTCAAAGATAGTAATATGTACTATATTTGACTACAGTAATGAGTTAGTAAAGAACATATATGTATATGTATTTAGAGACCAGGTCACTCTATCATCCGGGCTGCGGTGCAGTAGCATGAACACAACTCACAGCAGCCTCCACCTCCTGGGCTTAAGTGAAAAGTAATTTTCCCATTTCAGCCTCCTAAGTAGCAGGGTCTATAGGCAGGTGCCACCACTCCTGGCTATTTTAAAAATATATATTTTTTGTAGAGACGGAGTTTTGCCATGTTGTTCAGACTGGTCACAAACTCCTGAGCTCAGGCAATCCACCCGCCTTGGCCTCCCAAAATGTTGGGATTACAGGCATGAGTCACTGCACCTGGCCAATAATATTTTCAAATTTAAAAAATTACTTAAAACTTGCTTTGGTGTGTGTTTACCAATTGTTAGAATATTCTCAGGAAATCAGAGATTTGAGAAAATGTTCTCAGCACAGTGGTCAAGCATGTAGAGATTGGACTCTTGACAGCTTGTTTTAGCCTCAACTCTGCCATAAGCTGTGTGACCATGGACAAATCACTTAACTTCTCTGAGCCTTCTTTTTTTTTTTTGTGCCTGTAGAATGCAGATAACAATAATCAAATTGTTATAACAATGTCATAGGAAAGTTTTAAGAATTAAATTAGATAAAAATAACAATACTGGGCTGAGCACGGTGGCTCACGTTGTAATCCCAGCACTTTGGGAGGCCGAGGCGGGTGGATCACAAGGTTAAGAGATCGAGACCATCCTGGCCAAGGTGGTGAAACCTCCATCTCAAAAATAAATAAATAAATAAATAAAATACCTAATTAATTGTACAAAGCACTTTATACATGTTATTTTATTTTATTTTTCTGAGACATAGTCTCATTTTATCACTCAGGCTGGAGTGCAGTGTCATGATCTCAGCTCACTGCAACCTCTGACCCCCGGGTTCAAGTGATTTTCCTGCCTCAGCCCCCTGAATAGCTAGGATTACAGGCACCCACCACCATGCCCAGCTAATTTTTGTATTTTTAGTAGAGACAGAGTTTTGCTATGTTGGGCAGGCTGGCCTTGAACTCCTGGCCTCAAATGATCTGCCCACCTCAGCCTCCCAAAGTGCTGGATTATAGGCGTGAGCCATCCTGCCCAGCCTTATACATAATATCTTATTGAATCCTCATAATCTGCCAGCTTTGTGAAAAGTATAGTTATCAGTGTCTAGTTGTTTAATTATTAACTGTTTAATAAACATTAGCAGTATTCTGTTTGTATTTTTATGGAAATGAAAATGAATAGGAGAAACAGTAAAAAAAGACAAACCCTGTAACATTCTGCTTATGTTGAGACCCCATTTCCAATATCATCCATTCTCTTTTTTTCCTTTTTTTTTAAATTTTTTTGAATTAAAAAATTCACTCCAGGCTGGAGTGCAATGGCATGATCTCGGCTCACCATAACCTCTGCCTCCTGAGTTCAAGTGATTCTCCTGCCTCAGCCTCCCGAGTAGGTGGGATTATAGGCATGTGCCACCATGCCCAGCTAATTTTGTATTTTTAGTAGAGAATAGGTTTCTCCATGTTGGTCAGGTTGGTCTCGAACTCACGACCGCAGGTGATCCACTGGCCTTGGCCTCCCAAAGTGTTGGTATTACAGGTGTGAGCCACTGTGCCCAGCCATATCATCCATTCTCTCTTTTTTTTTTTGAGACAGAGTTTCGCTCTTGTTACCCAGGCTGGAGTGCAATGGCGTGATCTCGGCTCACCGCAACCTCCACCTCCTGGGTTCAGGCAATTCTCCTGCCTCAGCCTCCTGAGTAGCTGGGATTACAGGCACGTGCCATCATGCCCAACTAATTTTATGTATTTTTAGTAGAGACGGGGTTTCACCATGTTGACCAGGATGGTCTTGATCTCTTGACCTTGTGATCCACCTGCCTCAGCCTCCCAAAGTGCCGGGATTACAGGTGTGAGCCACCGCGCCCGGCCGATATCATCCATTCTCTTATTGCACATAGTGTTGAACCTACAATTAGAAGAAAAATATTCCCAGATCATCAACTTTCTGTTCAAAAGTAACATTCTTTGGTGTAGTATCAATTTTAAAAAAATTAAAGCATACTTGACATGAAATGTATCATTTTAGGCTGGGTGTGGTGGCCCATGTCTTAGGGAGACCAAGATGGGCGAATCGCCTGAGGTCAGGAGTTCATGACCAGCCTGGCCACCACGGTGAAGCCCGTCTCTGCTAAAAATATAAAAATTAGCCAGGCATGGTGGTGGGCACTCTGATCTCAGCTACATGAGAGGCTGAGGCAGGAGAATCACTTGAACCCTGGAGGCAGAGGTTGCAGTGATCTGAGATTGTGCCATGCACTCCAGCCTGGGCAACAGAGCGAGACTCTGTCTAAACAAAAACAAAAAAGAAATTTACCATTTAACCATGTTATTGTTTATTTATTTATAATTTCAACTTTTATTTTAGATTTAGAGGTACATGTGCAAATTGGTTACGTGAATATATTGTGTGATGCTGAGGTTTGGGGCACAAACAATCTCATCCCCCACAGAGTGAGCCTAATAGCCAATAGGTAGTTTTTCAGCCCTTGCCCTTATCTCTCTCTCTCCCCCTCCCTCCTCTGGTAGTCCCCAGTGTTTATTTTTCCTTTCTTCATGTCTATGTGTGCTCATTTAGCTCCTGCTTATATGCGAGAACCTGCAGTTTTCTGTTCCTACATGAATTCACTTAGGATAATGACCTCCAGCTGCTTCCATATCACTGCAAAGAACATGAATTTTTTTTTTTTTTTCACTTTTGTTACCCAGGCTGGAGTGCAATGGCACTATCTTGGCTCACTGCAACCTCCACCTCCTGGGTTTAAGCAATTCTCCTGCTCAGACTACAGGCACATGCCACCACACCCAGCTAATTTTTGTATTTTTAGTAGAGACGGGGTTTCATCATGTTGACCAGGATGGTCTCAATCTCTTGACCTCGTGATCCACCTGCCTCAGCCTCCCAAAGTGCTGGGATTATAGGCGTGAGCCATCGCGACCGGCCAAGAACATGATTTTGTTCTTTTTTATGACTGTGTAGTATTCCCTGGTGTATATGTACCACATTTTCTTTATCCAGTCCACCATGGATGGGCACCTAAGTTGTTTCCATGCCTTTGCTATTGGGAATAGTGCTATGATGAACATATAACTACATGTGTCTTTTTCGGTAGAACATTTGTTTGCCTTTGGCTATATACCCAGGAATGGAGTAGTTTGGTCAGATGGTAGTTGTTTTAAGTTATTTGAGAAATCTCTGAACTGCTTTCCAATGTGGCTGAACTAATTTATGTTGCTATAAACAGTGTATAAGCATTCCCTTTTCTCTTCAGACTCACTAGCATTTGTTACTTTTGGACTTTTTTTCTTTTTTTTTTTAAGACAGTCTCTCTGTCACCCAGGCTGGAGTGCAATGGCCTGATCTCAGCTCACTGCAGCCTCTGCCTCCCAGGTTCAAGCGATTCTCCTGCCTCAGCCTCTCGAGGAGCTGGGACTACATGTGCATGTCACCACACCTGACTAAGTTTGGTATTTTTAGTAAAGATGGGATCTCGTCCTGTTGGCCAGGCTGGTCTCGAACTCCTGACCTCAGGTGATCTGCCTGCCTTGGCTTCCCAAAGTGCTGGGATTACAGCTGTGAGGCACCATGCCCGGTCCTGGACTTTTTAATAATAGGCGTTCTGACTGGAGTGAGATGATATCTCTCCTTGTGGCTTTGATTTGCATTTCTCTGAAGATTAGTGATGTCAAGCATTTTCTCCTGTTTGTTGGCTGCTTGCAGGTCTTTGAGAAGTGTATGTTTATGTCCTTTGCCCACTTTTTAATGTGGTTATTGTTTTGCTTGTTGAATTGTTTCAGTTCTTTACAGATTCTGGATAGTAAACTTCTGTTAGATGCATTTTAACCATTTTAAAGTACCACTTTAATGGCCAGGTATGTTGGCTCACACCTGTAACTCAAGCACTTTAGGAGGCCAAGATGAGCGAAGGAGGTCAGGAGTTCGAGACCAGCCTGGCCAACATGGTGAAACCCCGTCTCTACCAAAGATACAAAAATTAGTTTGCACCTGAGGTCAGGAGTTCAAGACCAGCCTGGCCAACAGGGTGAAACCCTGTCTCTACTAAAGACACAAAAATTAGTTTGCACCTGAGGTAAGGAGTTTGAGACCAGCTTGACCAACATGGTGAAACCCCCTCTCTACTAAAGATACAAAAATTAGTCAGGTGTGGTGGTACGTGCCTGTGATCCTAGCTACTTCAGAGGCTGAGGCAGGAGAATTGCTTGAATCTGGGAGGTGGAGGCTGCAGTGAGCTGAGATTGGTCCACTGCACTCCAGCCTGGGCAACAAGAGTGAAACTGTCTCAAAAAAAAAAGGGCTGGGTGCAGTGGCTCACCCCTGTAATCACTGCACTTTGGGAGGCTGAGGCAGGCAGATAACCTGAGGTCAGGAGTTCAAGAGCAGCCTGATCAATATGGCGAAACCCGTGTCTTTACTAAAAATGCAAAAATTAGCCGGGTGTGGTGGTGTGCACCTATAGTCCTAGCTATTCAGGAGGCTGAGACAGGAGAATTGCTTGAACCCGGAAGGTGTAAGTTACAGTAAGCTGAGATTGTGCCATTGACAGAGATTGCCTGGGTGACAGAGCCAGAGACTCTGCCTCTAAATAAATAAATAAATAAATAAATAAATAAATAAATAAAAATAAAATACATTCAGGATGTGCAAGCATCACTACCATCCATCTCCAGAACATTTTCATCTTCCCAAATCGAACTATCTTACACACTAACTTTCCTTCATCCTCCTGCCAGTTCCTGGCAACCACCAGGACTTTCTGTCTCTATGATTTTGACTACTCTAGTACCTCATATAAAAAGAATCATGCCGTATTTTTTTTTTTTTTTTTTTTTTTTTTTTTTTTTTTTTGGTGACTGGCTTAATCCACCTAGCATAATGTCCTTGTATTAGGCCATTCTTGCATTGCTATAAAGAATTACTGAGACTGGGTAAGTTGTGAGAAAAGAGATTTATCTGGCTCATGGTTCTGCAGGCTATACAGGAAGCATGGCACCATCTGCTTCTGGGGAGGCCTCAGGAAGCTTCCAATCATCCGGAAGGCGAAGGAGGAGCAGGCACATCACAGAGAGAAAGCAGGAGTAAAAGAGAGCAAGTGAGAGAGGGAGGGGAGGTACCACACCTTTTTTTTTTAAAAAAACAACCCAAATGGTGCCATACATTTTAAACAACTGGATCTCAGGAGAATTCACTCTCTATCACACAGATAGCACCAAGGGGGTGTTGCTAAATCATTCATGATAAACTGTTCTCACAATCTAATCATCTCCCACCAGGCCCCACCTCCAACATTAGGGATCTCATTTCTTTTTTTGGTGGGAGGATTACATTTCAACATGAGATGTGAGTGAGGTAAATATCTAAATAATATCAGTCCTCAACGTTTATCTATGTTATAGCATGCCATAGAATTTTCTACCTGTTTTTAAGGCTGAATAATATTCGATTGTGTGTATTTTATCTATTTATCCATTGATGAACATTTGGGTTGTTTCCAACTTTTGTTTTTTTGTTTGTTAGTTTTTTTTTAAAAAGAGTCTTGCTATCTCACCCAGGCTGGTGTGTAGTGGCACAATCTAGGCTCACTGCAGTCTCCACCTCCCAGGTTCAAGTGATAGCCGGGACTACAGGCACGCAGCACCATGCCTGGCTAATGTTTTTGTATTTTTAGTAGAGACAGGGTTTCATCATGTTGGCCAGGCTGGTGTTGAACTCTCAGCCTCAGGTGATCCACCCACCTTGGCCTCCCAGAGTGCTGGGAATACAGGGATGAGCCACCGTACCTGGCCGTTTCCAACTCTTGGTTCTTACAAATAATGCTGTTATGAACCTTGGTGATTGGTGTACAAATAGTCCAAGTCTCTGTTTTCAGTTCTTTCGGGTGTGTACCCAAAAGTGGAATGGCTAGGTCTTATGATAACTCTATGTTGCATTTTTTGAGGAACTGCCATACTGTTTTCGTAGCGGTTGTACCATTTTACATTCCCACTGGCAGTGTCCAAGCGGTCTAATTTCTCCGCATCATCAACTAACACTTGTGTTTTTACACATACAGTCTTGAGTCCATGTGGAACAGACTCTGTTGCGTAAATTTTTAGAAGTGGAATTGATGGGCCGCATGTTATGTGCATCTTAGATTTTGATGCAGCTAACAAATTGCCCTCTAAAAAGTTTGTACCAATTGACCATTAGTGTATGAGGTGCTTATTTGCCGTATCCTCACCAACCTCAGGTAATATTACACTTTTTAGTATTTGCTATGCTGGTGGACAAAAATATTTTGTTGCTTTAATTAACATATTTCCATGACTATTGAAGTTTATTTTGCATTTTTATTTGCTATCTATGTAACGTTGCCATACTTGACTTACTCCGTTCTCTGTCGGTGGACTCTCAGCTTGGTTCCAGCCCACTGCATACTCAAGATGGCCAAGAAGGAGGACAAATATGGGAAGCTGTTTGAAATATGTCCAAATGACAATAAAGTGACTGTGGAAGCATTGAAAATTGTAACCGTGAGTCATCCAGTAGTTACACTGCATTTAGGAAGTAGAACAGTGCTTTACAAAGAGTACTAGTAAAGTGGTTAAAAATATAAAGTCTTGGTAATTTTTTTTTTTTTTTTTTTTTTTGAGACGGAATTTCGCTCTTGTTACCCAGGCTGGGGTGCAAAGGCGCGATCTTGGCTCACTGCAACTTCCGCCTCCTGGGTTCAGGCAATTCTCCTGCCTCAGCCTCCTGAGTAGCTGGGACTACAGGCATGCACCACCATGCCCAGCTAATTTTTTGTATTTTTAGTAGAGACGAGGTTTCACCATATTGACCAGGATGGTCTCGATCTCTTGACCTCGTGATCCACCCACCTCTGCCTCCCAAAGTGCTGGGATTACAGGCTTGAGCCACCGTGCCTGGCCTAGTCTTGGTAATTTTTAAAAGCTGCCATTTGTTGAATATTAACTATGTGTCCTCCTGCGCAGTAGGACTTTTCATACATTACTTCATTTCATCTTGGCTTGAACAAGCATCAGCTCATTTTACAGCTGTGAAAAAACTAAGGTTTCTGGAGACTTGCTTGAGTTCACAGTGAGTCAGTGGGTGGTCAGATCCTAACCCAAATCCTGTTGACGCTCTCACCCTTTGAGAATGACACCTCAAAGAAGTTCTACATTTTCATGGCGAAGGAACTATGGACTACAGGAACCTGACTACCAGTGGTGTCTCCAATCGCCTGGGGTCATTTTTAGTTTTGTTCTTGTTTTTCTTTTCTTTTTGCAAATGCAGAGTCAGCAGACTTTCAAAGACTTCATTGAAGTTCTCCACAAAGCATAAGCTGTGACTCAGTAGTAAATGATTTTAGGTGCTGCTTAGACCCAACAGTAAATGACATTGAATCACCCAAGGGGAAGGTGATTCCCCTTTTAATTTCCTGCTAATCATTTCAGCAAGGAAAGCATCTCCATGTGGTGTTAGTGTGCCTGTAACTCCTCTCTAGCACTTGCTGAATTTCTTTTCCTTTTTTTTTTTTTTGAGATGGAGTCTCACTCTGTCACCCAGGCTGGAGTGCAGTGGCATGATCCTAGCTCACTGCAACCTCTGCCTCCTGGGTCAGGTGAGTCTCATGCCTCAGCCTCTCAAGTAGCTGGGATTACAGGCATGCACCATCATGCCTGGCTAATTTTTGTATTTTTAGTAGAGATGGGGTTTTGTCATGTTGGCCAGGCTGGTCTCAAACTCCTGGCCTCGAGTGGTCCACCTGCCTCAGCCTCGCAAAGTGCTGGGATTACATGCATGAGCCACCGCCCCCCGCCGGCCATCTTCTTATAGCACCCTCACGTGGTGGAAGGGCAAGGGATCTCTCTGGGGCCTCTTTTATAAGGGCGCCAATCAATCTCCAAGCTCCCAATTTTCCCACCTCTAATACCATCACCTAGCAGGGTAAGACTTTAGCACATGAATTTTGTGGGAACATGAAGATTCAGAACATAGCTGCTGGATTCAGTGGGTCTGGAGGGTGTCACCTGCAATTCTGCAATTTTCTTATGCAACCCAGGTGCTTCTGGTACAACTGGTATGACATTTTAAGAAATTCTGAGGCCGGGCGCCATGCCTCATGCCTATAATTCCAGCACTCTGGGAGGCCAAGGTGGGTGGATCACCTGAGGTCAGGCGTTCGAGACCAGCCTGGTCAACATGATGAAAACTCGTCTCTTAAAAATACAAAAAATTAGCCAGGCGTGGTTGTGGGCACCTGTAATCCCAGCTACTCTGGAGGCTGAGGCAGGAGAATTGCTTGAACCCAGGAGGCAGAGGTTGCAGTGAGCTGAGGTCGTGCCATTGCACTCCAGCCTGGGCAACAAGAGTGAAACTCCGTCTCAAAAAAAAAAAAAAAAAAAAAAAGAGGCTGGGTGCGGTGGGTCACGCCTGTAATCCCAGCACTTTGGGAGGCCGAGGCGGGTGGATCACGAGGTCAAGAGATCGAGACCATCCTTGTCAACATGGTGAAACCCCGTCTCTACTAAAAATACAAAAAAAAAAAACTTAGCTGGGCATGGTGGCGCGTGCCTGTAATCCCAGATACTCAGGAGGCTGAGGCAGGAGAATTGCCTGAACCCAGGAGGCCGTGGTTGCGGTGAGCTGACATTGCGCCATTGTACTCCAGCCTGGGTAAACAAGAGCGAAACTCCGTCTCAATTAAAAAAAAAAAAAAGAAAAATTCTGAAACCAGACCTTTCGATTTTACCCCAATTTTAGATTTTTTTCTCTTTTGAGACAAGGTCTTGTTCTGTCACCCAGGCTAGAGTGCAGTGGCACAATCTCAACTCACTGCAACCTCCACCTCTGAAGGCTCAAGTGATCCACTCACCTCAGTCCCTGAAGCAGCTGGGCCCACAAATGTGTACCACCACTCCAGCTAATTTTTATGTTTTTTGTAGAGATGGGGTTTCACCATGTTGCCCAGGCTGGTTTTGAACTCCTGGGTTCAAGCAATCCGCCTGCTTTGGCCTCCTAAAATGCTGGTATTACATGTACGAGCCACAGCACCCGGACATATTTTTTAATAGATTGGCAAGAATGCTAGCTGGATATAAATCTGTCATGCCACAGATACGCTTCTGCCTTTATAGTGGATTTGTTGCCGGGGGGCAGCAGTTAAATGCAATTTACAGGCAGTGTTCTAAGAACTACACACGTGGTTTTAAAAAAAGTTGTTTTAAATTGTTTTTAATTTTTTGAGATGGAGTCTCGCTCTGTCGCCTAGGCTGGAGTGCAGTGGCACAATCCCTGCCACTGCAACCTCCGCCTCCTGGGTTCAAATGATTCTCCTGCCTCAGCCTCCTGAGTAGCTGGGATTCCAGGCATGCACCACCATGCCCAGCTCACTTTGTATTTTTACAAAGTGAGTAGAGATGGGGTTTATCCTTGTTGGCCAGGCTAATCTTGAACTCCCAACCTCAGGTGATCTGCCCGCCTTGGCCTCCCAAAGTGCTGGGATGACAGGTATGAGCCACCACACCCAGCCACACTTTACACATGTTTAATCCTTGGTACAATCCTTTGAAGGAGGTACTATTATTACCCCCATTTTACAGGTGAGGAGACTCAGATGCAGGAGGTAAGATCACTAGCCTGAGGTCACAAAGTCAGGAAGTAGCAGAGCTGGGATTTGAACTCAAGCCCTCTGGCTTAGGACCAATATTCCTACCTGCCATGCTCAACTTCCTCTCCTGGATCTCCACCTCTATTCATGATGATGAAGGTTCATCACCCCCTCCAATTCTACATTGTCATGTCATTCTAGCCTATCAGTCTGCTTTCAATCCTATCATTGACCATAAGACTCTTTGCAATCAGAAATTTATCAATATTTGAACTGGATGAATTAGCGAATCAATAACATCCCAGGATTGAGGACTACAAACTTTCTAGCTCAATGGAAATCATGGACTAGGTCTGTCTTGAAAAAAGAAAAGGCAACGTGTATTTCCCATGTTGAAAATAAAAAGTGTTCTCCATTTACCAAGAAAACTAACCTGGTAACTGATTTTTTTGATTCTGTGCAGCAAAGCACAAAACAGGAAAACCTATGACTTCCTCAGCTCAGCATTTCTCATTCCTTGCCCCCCCAATCCTTTTTCTTTCCCAAAGAAAGGAAAGTTGAAAACTTACAGAATATCCTTGTAAAGGACCTTCAGTTCATTTTGTCAGACAGGAGTACGGGAGAGTTTGTAATAATCCCCAGGTCTGTACCTTTCAGAAGGCAATCACATTTGGGATGATTTGAGCTCATCCGGGACTCCATGGGCTCTTTTGTCCTCATACTACATGCATTTCTTTTTTCTTTTTGTCAAGTCACAGATGTGTGCTGGAAGCCGAGTCAACACCATGCCACAAGGTGAGATGCAGACAGCTGTGATGGGGAGCAAAGAGGAGGCACTTTCTGCTTTCACTGACCAGATAGGCAGCCCACAGGAGCAGTGGAGGGCAGATGCAGGCTTCCTCTCTGACCAGGGCACAGCTGGCTGCAGGAAAGGTCTGCATCAGGGTAGAAAGCGTATCTTGAGTATATCCAGACTATGGCACAGTTATTCCCCTCCTCCCTCCCTCCCTAATTTTTTTAAGAGATGGAGTCTTGTTCTTGTTGCCCAGGTTAGAGTGCAGTGGTGTGATCCTGGCTCACTGCAACCTCTGCCTCCCATGTTCAAGTGATTCTCCTGCCTCAGCCTCCTGAGTAGCTGGGATTACAGGTGCCTGCCACCAGGCCTAGCTAATTTTTGTACTTTTAGTAGAGACAAGATTTCACCATGTTGGCCAGGCTGGTCTCGAACGCCTGACCTCAGGGAATCTGCCCACCTTGGCCTCCCAAAGTGCTGGGATTACAGGCATGAGCCACTGCACCTGGTCAGGTTTTACGTTTTCCTCCAGCCATTGCTATCATGTACCCTGGAATAGCTCCAGTGTGCTGGGGGAGAGCTCACAGGCAGGAGCACGTGGAAGACACATGTCCAGGATATCAGCCATTGTGTTACGGTTGTACTTTAAGAAGGGGTGACCACTTGGAAGAGTGCATGGATATTCACATGACAAACCATGTAAATTACATGGCTCATGCCTATAATCCCAACACTTTGGGAGGCTGAGCCAGGTGGATCATTTGAGGTGAGGAGTTCAAGATCAGCCTGACCAACATGGTGAAGCCCCATCTCTATTAAAAATATAAAAATTAATACCAGCTCCATGGGAGGCTTTGGCAGGAGAATCTCTTGAACCCAGGAGGTGAAGGCTGCAGTGAGCCAAGATCGTGTCACTGCACTTCAGCCTGGGTGACAGAGTGAGACTGTTTCAAAAAGAAAATATATATATAGCACACTATAGACTAGAGTCGTTCACACCAGTTAAACCAACGTGAAATAACTTTCAGATTTTATGAGATGCTTTAGATGCTGTTTTTCTTAAATAATTGAATAAATAAATAATACATATTTTTTAGAGATGAGGTCTTCCTCTTTCACTCAGGTTGGAGTGTGGTGGTGTGATCATAGCTTATTCTAGCCTGGAGACCCCAGGCTCAAGCAATACTC